AGACGTGGGGATTACTGATACCCTTGGAGTATCACAGCATCCCCGTCACTATACTCTTGCCGTATAACACATTTGATCTTCCGTGTTTAAGAAATCTTTGCAGAATGAATAAATTTAATCCTCACAGCAAATCTGCGAGGTAGCTACAATTATCACTTTATTACAGGGATGAGCAATCAAAGCCCGAGAGAGGTGACTTTTCCGCATCACACACCCTAGGCAGAGCTTGGCTTCTCCAAGCTCACATACAAGTCTGTAGGTTCACCCACTGTATCCGTTTCTTCCCTCATTTACTTATTTGGGTTTTTTGAGACAGCGTCTCACTACGCAGTTCAGGCTGGCCTTGAAGTTACTATGGACTCCAGGCTGGCCTCCAACTCATGCCAATCCTCCTGCCTCAGCCTCCCAAGTGCTGGGCTTACAGCCACGTGCCACGGCACCGCATTCTGTATTGATTTCCTTCTTTTGCTGCAACAACTTTCTACAAATTTAGTGGTTTAGGAAAACACAAATTGATTGTCTTAATATTTTGGAGGTCAGAAGTCCTCAAATCAAGGTGTCAGATACCTTGTGCTTCTTTTTGGAGGTTTCAGGGTAGAACTGGTGCTATGGTTTGGGGCTTATTTTGCAAGGGGAACAATATAATACAGGACACATATTTTATAAGATTATTTATAATAGTCACCCAAAAAAATGATATACAAAAGAGTGCAGGAAATCTGTCCACACACTGAGACCAAGGAATCCAGCCGAGGGCCTGAATCCCACAGAAACGTCCTGCATGAGTCCAGCTGAAGGCCTAGAGCTCATAACAATGCCTCCCACGAATGAAACTCGAGGCCCAGAGCCCACGACAACGTCTCATGCAGGGCTGTTTCACGGATCTGTGCTGGGAAGGCCCAAAGGTCAGTGGTGGAATCTAGGAAGTCTGTGCCAGCGGGATGAAGGATCTGTGCTAGCAGGCTGAGGGATCTGCACTGGAGCCAGGAAGCAACGCTTGGAAGAAGCAGAGCTCCCCCGGAAGGT